ATAACCATCTGGTGTATTAGCTATTCCTTCCAGCTTTGGAAGCTCCCAAACTCAGAGTACAGTCTGTCCCATCATGCATGTCCCATCACCACCAATGACCATATTAAAAATTACTGGACCCCTGGTGCATACCATCAGACACTGGCCTACAGCTATGTTGCTGATCACAGACCTTTGAGCCCAGCAGATGATACAGTTTCCAGCCCATCTGGTTGTCCTCTACCTAGTCCATACTTTATTAGTTTCTCTATGAAGATTTTTTTAAAAGCTATTGATATGCCAGAAGCCTTACTAAAGTCAATATATACAATATCCACTCTTCTTCCTTCATCCATTGAGACAGTCACCTAATCACAAAAGGCGACCATGTTGGTCAAGCAAAATTTGCTCTTCAGAAACCATGCTGCCCATTCCAAATCATCGTCTTGTCCTTCATATGCTCAGAAATGGTTTCCAGGATTATTTGCCAGGGATTCCCAGGAACTAAAGCAAGATTGATCAGCCTTATCCTTCCTGAAGACAACAGTAAAATCTGTTTTCTTCCCTTCCTCAGGAACCTTCACCAGCAATCATGATCTTTCAAAGATTATCAGAAGTGGCCTTTCCAAGACAAAGACCAGCTCCCTTGGCACCCATGGCACATCTCAACAGGACCCACAGTTTTTCATGTCCAATCTGTTCAGTGCTGATCCTCTTCTATCAAGTCATCCTCACTCCTCTTCAACATAATTCCATTTTAATCCTAATTATATAAGGCATTTCAGTATTTTGCACTACCTGTCCTAAAGTGAAAGATAAGGATCCATTTTCAGATAAATCCTGGTCTCCTTATGGCATTCCACAACAATAATGCAAGTCCTAGTGATATTTTTTTTCTATTCCACAGGACAAACATGGAGAGTGAGGGCCAAATATTACCTAAAAATGCGGTTTTAAGCACATTCTGACAACCTTAGGCAGCAGGACAGAACATCTACTTTCAAGTATTACCGTGCAATGCTTGTGTTTAAATCGCATTGGACCTCCAAAAATTCCACTACAACACCATTGCAACTGGAAAGGTACCAGCATTCCCCTTACACCTCCACCACAGATGATCAGCTGTGGACATTCAAATAAGGCCTACACATCTAGAACTCATTTTGATGCAGCTTGAATTGCACACCATCAATTGTGAACACAAATGAAAAAAGAAGTAACAGCAACAGAGCCATTCACCTTTACCCTTTTGCAGATTACGGTTTTCATCCTGAAGTTGAAAGCCTTCCCTGACTGAGGGTAGTCCAACACTCAGGTTTCCCAGAAAATGACCTTATTATCACACACTATTGAAAGGGAGGATGATAACCCTCTGTTACTCAGATTACAAAGTCATTACAGAGTAATATTCAAATAGAAAATGAAAACTAAGCAAAATTATTTGGTTCTGGTCTCAATTCATGGAATCATTTAGGCTGGAAAAGATCTGCCATTAACTTAGTTGAACCATAAGGGGTGACTAAGATTGTGAGGGGACTGGAATGCACAGTGAGATGAGGCTGAGAACTGTGTTTGTTGAGCTTATGAAGACAATGCAAAGGGAAGACCTGGCTGCCCTCTTCAACTGAATGGAAAGTCCTGGTGAACATCAAGCACAGTTCCTCTCAGAGATGGAAAGAATTAGGACAAGAGAAAATGGAATAAAGATGAAATACAGAAAATTTTTCACATGGAAAATGTGAAGTTTTTCGGGGTTTTTTGGTCATTGCTGGTTTTTTTGGTTTGTTTTTCTTCCCCCTCCCACAATCATGAGGGTGACAAACACCAGAACAGGTTACAAGGAAACAGTCTCCACCCTTGTAAGTAAGCAAAACCTGGCTAAGCAGGGCCTGAGCACCATGCTGTAGTTGGACCAGCTTTGAGCAGAAATTTGGACCAGATGAACTCTTCCCAATCTACATGATTCTATGACCACAGGATCTCTTTCCACTTAAAAAATATCATTGTAGAAGCAGCACTGTTAAGCAGCAGAACTTGGCCTCTTTCTCACCAGAGTTCGGTGAAACTTGCATTTCTTCAGCCCACAGATCTTGTCCTTCTTTCTGATTAGGGGATTGGCAGTAGGGACACGGTGACAATGGGGACACAATGGCAATGGGGACACAGTGACAACACTGTGTCCCTCCCAGCCCAGCGCCACCCACCGGAGACAGGGGGCAGGGGGACAGATCTGGGGGCCATGGGGACAGCTCTGCCCATGAACAAGAAGTATCCCATGAAAGACACCTTCAGTTGCATAGTTAAGGAATCCTCTGGGAAGCTGGAAGTTTGAGTTTTCATACTTTCATGTTGAGTCTGTGCTTCTGAATCCCAACCTCTGGGCTGGAAAGCTAAATAACATGGCTAGGGCCACCTTCTCTGCTCAAGGCTTACTTTCAAAACAGGGTTACTCCTTAAAAGGCAGCAACTGTAAAGCCTTAAATAAGGCATATTCTGACACATACTTTGTCCAGCTTTTCTAGTTAGCTGGCTCTAAACAGGTAAGTGCTTTACCAGCAGGCACTCTAATTAATGTCAAGTGCTTGGAGTCCTCCTCCAACCAATGGAAGAAGGTTTCCCAGGACTAATTTATAGCCTCTATGAAGAATCATTTGGAGGTTCTGAATTGTTCTTCTGAAGCATCTCCTTTCCTTCACTCACATTTACAGACTAAAATGACAAGCTTAAGCAATGAAGTTCACAGAGCTATGTCTAGAACTGTGCCCTGCACCCTTTGACTTTAATATATTTGTACAGGGGAAGACTGGCAAATGCTGGGCTAACTTTGCCACCAGTGAGACTAAAGAAGAGCAACAGTGACCAAAATTATAGAATGATTTTGTACATGGGACAGTAAGCAGCAACTAACTTCAGCATGAAAAAGAAAGGGACATGATAAGGTTATTTATGAAAACAGATCAGAATCAGTAAACAAGAGCAAACAAATTCACTGTCAGATTTTCTCACTCCATGAGAGAGTTATTTATTAACCTGGAGAGACAGATGGGTTTAAAAAACTAAACAGCAATTTTGTTATTGCAGGTTCTACTCTTGCAGCACAACCTTAGTTAATCTGCATTACAGCAAAAAGACAGTGCATTATTTTAGACATACATACACACACAACCCACCACTTCAACATTCTGCATCAAAAGACAATTATGTAAAGAATACCAATGCAGGCCATTTCCAGTACTCAGAATAAATAGGAACTCAAGAGTAAACTTCAGGAATTCTATTTTGGGAAAGGAAAAAATTGGTGTAGTATGCTTCTGTTAAGAAGAGAACTCCAAGTCTTACTTTGTTAGCGTTAGTGTAATTCCTGCAAGATAGTAAGATACAAAGTAGATGTTCCAGAAAAAACTCCATGTCTCAGAGTTCTGAAAATTATCGAAGAAATAGAAAAAAGTAATCTCAAGATACTTCATAATGCATTTTTGCCATTCCCAATACATAATAAAGAATTAAGCAGCCATTTCTTCTTTATAAACAAAACTAGATATATGTACATGGATGTTGTTTTCAAAACTTTTCTGTGATGTTCTTTAGATTAGTCAACATGTCAAGGCAGGAAGTACCAAGCTAAATTATGTGAAAACGCTCACCACTGCTTTTGCCTACTACTGTATAGTTAATAAGTGCTCTTTCTCACCAATATTAAGTTCTTTTAAAAAGATCCTCGGCAAACACAGTTATAAACAAGCAGTTATGCAAACCAAACTTTTTAAGTGAAGTATCTTTCACCAGACAAGCTTTACTTTTTTTTTTGAGAAGTAAAAAAAAAAAAAAAAAAAAAAGTGAAAAAAAAAATCCACTCTCAAACCAAAAAGTTAACCAAATGCCAAATTCCCTTGAAGAAAGGTAATTAGGGATAAAAAAAACCTTTTACTCAAGTTTCTCTGGGCACTTAATTTCCAGTTTCGAACCTGAAAGAGATCCTTTGGCACACTAAGCTTGTCTGTATTCCACGCCCCAATTACAGTACAAGCTGTGTCTACAATCACTTAGGAAATATCTTCAGATTAGCCTGGTTACAACAGCACATGACATGCTACCATTACAACATTAAGTCATTACCTGCATCAAGATATTTACTCAAAGATTCATCAAGAGGAGGTACTGGCAGGGAAGGCAGAGAATCTTGGTACTGAAACGTTCGCTCCTCTGAGGATTCAAGCAGTTGCTTTTCCATGTTGCAGATCTGCAGCACAACCAGACTATTCACGAAGCCCACGTTCAATGACGAATCTCCCCACACTGTTCTCTCCCTCGCTCCGGCCTCCTGCCATTTACACGGAAAAAGACAGATATCAGGAAACGTTCCCCGACAAAGCACGGACCGAGGGTTTCTTGCTGGCTTGCAGCCACGAGAGGCACACACACAGCAGGGGGAAACGAAGACCAGGCTGCTATTGATGCTTTTCCCCAGCACGTCGCGATTAACCAGCTCGAAGACTGTCGCTTTCTCTCCCAAGCAGCAGCCGGTCAGCCCTGGGACACCCGCCCCAGACCAGAGGATATCCGGGGAAGGGGGAATCACCCCACAGCCCGGCTGGCGACCCCTCCGAGGCCCCCGCAGACCCTCCCAAGGTCCCCGCCCGAGCCCCGACGCCAGCGCTCCCCGAGCCGAGCCGGGCCGGGCGCAAGGCCCGCGACACAACAGCAGAGTTTATAGCGGCTGAGGGCCCACATCGAGGAAAGCCCGGGAGAGCCAAGGCGGATGGGGCCTGGGTGTAAGGAGACAGCCCAGCCGAGCCGAGCCGAGCCGAGCGCTCTGCTCTGCCCAGCGCAACCCCGAGGAACGAAGCCGGCAAGGACCACAGGTCCCAAAGCCCTGCCCACCTCCCCGGCCGCCGCCTTTGCTTCTGTCCCACTTCCCAGCGGCTCCGGAAGCGGCGCGGGGCGGGGCGGCCGCGGAGGCGGGAGGGGAGCGGCCTCGCCGTCCCCTGCGCTCCGGAGGCGGCGGTGGAGTTAAAAGAGCAGTGGATAGAGGTGGTGACTCCCTCAGGGCAGACGAGTTCCGCAGAGAGACCTGGGCCAAAAGGAGGGCTGGGCAGTCGCCACTGTGTGAAGTTTTATAAGGGGAAGTGCTGGTCTGCGCCTGGGAGAGGGTAACTCTCGACGTACGTACAGACTGGGGAATGAGAGGCTGGAGACCTCATTTCCATCGACCTGGGGTTCCTGGCTGATGGAAAATTCATTATAAATCAGCAGTGCCCTGGCAGGTAGGAGGGCCAGGCATGTATTGGGGGCCATCAGGCCCAGCATCGCCAGCCGGCAAGGGAGGGGATTGTCCTGCTCTGCTCTGCTCTGGGGTGGCCTCACCTCGAGTGTTGGGGGCAGTTCTGGGTGCTACAATACAAAAAAGGCATTAAACTATTAGAGAGCTCCTAAAGGAGAGCTATGCAAGTAGTCAGGGGTCTAGAGGGGAAGCCACATAAGGAGTGGCTGAGGTCACTTGGTCTGTTCAGCCTGGAGGAGTCTGAGGGGAGACCTCACTTCGTCATGAGGGGAAGCAGAGGGACAGACACTGATCTCTGCAGTGCACAGTGACAGGAAACAAGGGAATGGCCTGAGGTTGTGTCAGGAGGGGTTTAGGCTGGATATTAGGAAAAGGTTTTCTCCCCAGAGAGTGATTGAGCACTGGAGCAGGTTCCCCAGAAACCTGGTCACAGCACCAAGCCTGCTAGAATTCAAGAAGCATTTGGAAGATGCTCTCAGGCACATGGTGTGATTCTTGGGATGTCCTGCATAGGGTCAGGAGTTGGACTTCAGTGATCCTTAGAATTCAGTATCTGTGACATGGGGAGAAGGGGCTGCTGGGGCTGCATTAGAGGCAGGGGCTCTTCACAGCTGCTGTCCCTCATGGGCTGTGCTCTTAAGTCCTGTGGTGTCCTTAGCAGGACTGAGACCAGATGCAAGCCCTGGCTGGCCCAGGGGACTCCTCACCCAGGGTAAGTGGCCCAGCTGCTTTGTGGGTGGGCAGTGGCACAGGAACCTGCAAGGGTGATTCTGTGGAGCAGGTCTGGGCTGATGGGTTTCTGTGCCACCTGATAAAATGTTATGTGGAAGAAATGCTGTGGGATGTGACTTGCAGCTTCACAGGAGTAGGAGTAAGCAGTAGCCAGAGTGATTGGGTGGCATTTGGAGCAGTCTTCACATGCTGGAGCAAACATTTCACCCCATGGTGAAATACCACTTGTACTAGGGAGGGCATGTGAGGCCCAGTGTAGTACACAAGCCCTACGAGGAACGACTGAGGGAGGTGGCGTTGTTTAGCCTGGAGAAGAGGAGACTCAGAGGTGACCTTATCACTCTGTACACCTCCCTGAAAGGTGGTTGTGGTCAGGTGGGGGTCAGTCTCTTTCTCTAAGCAACAACTGACAGAAACACAGGATGCAGTCTTAAGCCACGCCAAGGGACATACAGGTTGGATATTAGGAAAAAGTTTTATACAGAAAGGGTGATAAAGTGTTGGAATGGTTTGCCTGGGAGGTGATGAAGTCATTATCTCTGGATGTGCTTAAAAAAAGACTGGATGTGGCACTTGGAGCCATGGTTTAGTTAAGATGTTAGGGCTGGGTGGGACTCAATGATCTTGAAGGTCTCTTCCAACCTAGTGATTCTGTGACTTCTTTCCTCTTTGCATCTGCAGCAGCATTTGTTGCTTCTGTTTGTCTTTGTTACTCTCTGTCTTTGCTGCCAGAATGGCTTCCCATTACCTACTGTTGTGGTTGAACTCCAGCCAGCAGCCAAGCCCCATGCAACAACCTCTCAATCACTCACCTACCAGTGGGAGCAGGGAGAGGATCAGATGAGTAGAAGTTAGAAATCTCATGGGTAGGGAAATCAAAAGCTACACAGAAAAGCAAATCAACAAGGAATTAATTTGCTATTTCCCATGGCCAGGTGTTCAGCCATCCCAAGGAAAGTAGAGCTCTGTCATATAACAACTGCTTGGGAAGACAAACACCCTCACTTAAAACGTTCCCCCATTCCACCTTATTCCCTCCACTTTATATACTGACCTCTTCCTGAAGCCTGTAGTGCTGCATGGGGTTATTTTGACCCTAGAGCAAGAATCAGCACTTGGTCTTCTTGAATCTTATACCATTGGCCTTGGACCATTGATCCACCCAGTCCAGATCCCTCTGCAGAGCCTTCCTGATGTCCAGCACATCAACCTCCCACCCAACATGGTGTTGTCTGAGAATTTACCGAGGGTGCACTCAATCCCCTCATCCAGATTATCAATAAAGATACTAAACAGGAGGTTGCAATCTCCCAACTCATTTTTTCCCTTGAGATGGTAATTATCTTTCCACACTGATGTCTTTCCTCTTGATTGTTGAGCTACTTGCCTAGTGCCATCCCTGTGTGCCAGCCTTTCTCTCCAATTTTATCTATCTTACCTTTCATAATTCAACTCTATGGACTGCTTTAGAGTTCCTCCTCTCAATTGAATGATTTCCTCAAACATCTGAGCAAAGGTTGGGTCGTTGTACCATAGCAGAACTAGGATGACAGCAGCAGCAGTAGGAAAGGAGGGGAGATTATACTGCTCCTTGTGTTTGTTTCTGAAGCATCCACACGATCTGTATATTTGGCAGTTTCAACGCCCTGGAAGGTCCAAGTAGTGAAGTCCATGTTGAGAATGCATGTTGTGTGACTTTAATATTTATTTCAATAATTTTGCATTAGGGATGCTTTGAGCTTATCAGATGCAAGTGTTCCACAAGTAAGTTTCTCTGTAATAATGTCCTAGATTTTTTTTTTCAAGACGAAGTAAAGGGATGGGTAAACAGCTTTCTGGAGGACAGTATTTCACTTGGTAATGACACAAATTTTTTTTCATCAGCAGCTTTTAGATGTTAGCAATGACATGAACCAATTTCAAATATAGTCTGCTAAAAATGTAGCTATGAGAGATATGTTATTGGGAAAAAGATGACTAATGAGATGGATATGCTCCATACCTTTTTTCCCATGCATCTAGGTTTAAAGGCAAAAGATTTCCTGAAGTCTTTATTTTTCAAGAAGCAAACATCAGTATTTTTCTGAACTCAGGAGCTACTGAGATATGGCTTCCCACTTTTTTTTTTTTTTTTTCCTTGTGGTTTATGCATTTTCCTGTCTCTTAAATGGATGATCACACCCACTGCTTTTGCTGAGTAAGAAAACTTTTAGGGATATAAATCTGCAAAAACATGTAATAAATATTACAGTGCATGTAACAGGTGTGTTTTCTCTCTAACTGGACACCTCTTTTCATAAACCTGTAATTTTCCAGAAAGTTTAAATGCTTACCCTGAAAAACATTTTTAAACTTTTTAAAAGAATTATTTGAATAATGAATGTAGCCAAATGTGTGTGATACAGTAATACATAAGGTACTGATACAGATGCAGAAATAAAAAATTTCAACTGTGTTACAATATTTAGAACACTGAGACGTTGGTGTCTATCAGTTACACAAACTGTGTTTCTCTTGTGAAGATAAAATCAGTAGGGGATTACATTGCCTAACTGTCCTACAGCCTGACAGCTCTGTTATTACAGGATTGCAGATACCGAGTGGTCAGTGCCCAGCCAGGCGTCTCAGATACATGCCTAGCTGTAAGCAATCCAGCAACTTTGATAACAGACTCCATACCTACCATGAATGATGGTAGGTATGATAATTTGACTCCCAAGCTCACTATTTTACTTCTGTGCTTATTGCTGGGAGGTGAATGGACTATCTTAAATCTAAATTTTATGAGATTTTTAGACTTGAATTTACTTGCCACCTGGGAAAGGGTTTGCTTTTTCCTTGGCTTCCAGAATCTGCAGACAAGGGGTTAACTCATGTATGCACAAATGACACAGGTCTGCTATGTAGGGTTTGCAAGTTCCTGGATATCTGAGAGGCCTCTTAGGTCCTGGACTGCCCTACTGGCAAATACCACATTCCTGCAGTTCACAAAAGCTTCTTCCACAGATTTTTAGATTGTGTGCTATGGGATATATTTTCCTTGGGGAAATATCTTGCAGCCCTGTGCTGCAAGCACTTGGTGTTTCTTTACTTTTGGCTTTCTGTTCCCTGCAGGGTGGGGCTGTTGGTCCATTTGTCCTTGCAGCTGGTCAGTGTGAAAGCAGTTTTGTTGTTGCTTGTGTTTTCAATTGTGCTTTTCAATTAACGCTTGTCCACCTACTATAAGGTGATGCCATGACAATAAATAAAGCTCATATAAAAAGGTCATAATGCCCTGAAAGCCTGTTTCAAAAACATGTTTGAAAAATAATCCAAAATTTCTTTGGCATACCACATCTGGGTCCATTTTGAATTCTGTTGTCTTAGAAGGATATTGAAATACTGAAGTGAGCGTGGCATGGTCCCCTGTGATTGTGACTGGAGTGGGTGGTGTACAGGAGAGTCTGAGACAATTGATTTTGTCTTAAGAGGGGAGTGCCAAATGAAGATGTCTTCACCTGCCTAATAGAAGGATGGGCAGAGCCGGGTTATTCTTGGCTGTACTCAGCAAAAAGAAGACTTGTGGATATAAGGCACAACAAGCATATAGATTGAAAAGTATCCTCACTATGAGCCGTGATTGAACACTGGAACATGGTTACCAAGGGAGATTGTAGTCTCCATCCTTGGAGATAATCAACACCTAACAAGAGAAAATTTGAACTGCATGATCTCTAAAAGTCCCCTTCAGCCTAAGTTGTTCTGTGATTTAAATCTTAAATCTCTAAATCTTTAAATCTCTTTTAATCTTTTATACAGCTCTCTGTCAGACTAGAATTTTATTTTCAGCTTATTCTACACGTGAAGAGAAAAAAAAGCCAGGAAATACTTTCTTAAAATTCAATGGGTTTTCTTTTTTTTCACTGACTGAGCCATCTCTTTGCCGATAGTTCAATAAAGAAAAATTCTTTTTGATTGTGAACACTCTAAAGTATATTTTTCTGCCATTAATTCATCAGATCATGCATCTGACTTAAAATTTATAGGGAATAAAATAAAAGCTTGTTTCTCTTGAAAGCTTACAATCTAGGAAAATCTTGATTTTGCAGAAGAATTCTTATGTATCCTCTTTTTGTTTTAATAGGGTCAAAGTTAGATCTCAGGTATAAGGCCAATAGGTGGAAGTAGATGAAAATATAAAGACAGTTTGGAAATAATAATAAATTTTTTAAAATTGCTGTCTTGGAAAAAAAGAGAAAAGAGACATTTCCCTAACCAGATATGCTTAGATTTCAAATAAATTGCAACTGCATTCCAAAGGAGATTATGTATTCATGTAATAGTTCTTTCTTGTTTGTGGCCTTTTTTTTTTGTGAATGAAAATTAGATTGGCCGAATGTATCTTTCAAACCAGTAAGACAGACTCTGCAGGTTCTTTATTTCAGGGAAAGTTGTAAAATAATCCTTAAAGGCAAATTACTCCATTAGATTAGCACAGATGTGTCATTTGCATCCAAACTTTGTGGCTGTATATGTGATATCAGCATGCACCTGTCCAGCTGGATGAAGTGTGTGAAAGCTTCCGAAAAGGTCATAAAAGGCTCCTTTCATTTTCAACAGGAGGATGGTGAGACTGATGTAGGTGCAAACTAAATTACAGGATTAGTTTACAGTTTGATAAACAATGTGCTCTTACTACACAGCTATGTAGTTGCTAGTGCTGAGTAAAAGATTGGGTAGAGCATTATGCTCCAAGAAGCTGGGAAGGGACAGATTGTCTCATCAGCAGCATGATCAGACACAGCTGGTGACGAGTCTGCATCTCAGTTACAGCTTTGACTTGGGTTACTCTCTGAGCCACTAAAACCAAAACAGGGATTCATTCTTCATGCATCAGACAGTGGAGCTGTGCAACTCATTGCAAGAGGATGTTAGGGATGCCAACTGTTCAAGGGGAGACTGGAAAAATACATGAAGAATAATTCATAGACTTTTATATATATAAAGAAATGATATCCTACTGTGCCTTTGACATCTATTTTACCACTGTGATAGAGAGAACATTGAACTAGGTGGTCCTTATGTTTTCTAGGTTCTTCAGATGGACCTTTTATTTTTGTGTATATCCTGAAACCATATGTTTTTAAATGATCTTCCTAAAATCCCTTAACAATTTATTTTGCTGCTTGTAATGTTTGTTGTGGTCAGTGACTGAGCAAATATTAACTAAGGGTATTGCCCAATACTATTCTACCATCATTTATAAAAGCAGAACTGGTTTACAGTGTTGCAGGAAGGTTATCTCATATCTAGGTAGTTGTTGTAACCCAAGCAGTTTTGATGACAGAGACTATTACACCCTGTTGTTTCAATTTAGACTTAATTCACTCTAATTTTCCTATATCTGAAGAGTCTTGTTCTAGAATGATGGGCGTTTTTTTGTTGTTTTTGGTTTTTTTGTTTGTTTGTTTGTTTTTTTTGGTTTGGTTTTTTTTTTTTTTTTTTTTTTTAAGAAATGGAAAAGCTGGTTGCTTGCGTACAAAAAAAGCCAGATGCTGTTTGTAGACTGATTTGCTTTCCATGGGCTGGAAGTGGAACCTCACAACTTGCTCAGTGGGGCAGACTCTTCAACGACTCAGTTGAAGGTTAGTCATTTTGTAGCTACAGGAGAATTTAAGCAATTCTGAAATACACATTAGCCAATTTTTTTTAATGGAATATAAATAGTATTGAGAGCACCACAATCTTTATCCAATGTGTCTTCTCCAGAAAGGAAGGAACTAGTATTCATTAGGAACTAGCATTTCCACTAGGGTACATTTTCTGTACCACCTTGAATCAAATTATATTTGATTGGGTGAAAAAATTATATCCTCAGAGCTATATTTCACAAGAGTACATACATACATATACTAATGCTTGACTGCTTCAGACACTACTGGTATGATTCAGAAACAGAAGTACACTGAATATTGTTGATAAGCCAGTCTTCAGCAAGGTTAACAGTGAAGATATGAAAACTATTTTTAATTTTGAGAGGCTGCAGACTATCTCTTATCCAGTGTTTGTACTTCTTGTATCAAAACTAAAATTTAATCTATGAATTTTATGACAGTAAAATGATGTTTAGTTACACGATGAAGCAATTCTCATTGCTCACAAGATACATCAGCACTAAAAAGATCTATGCTTGACCTATTTAAGAAGAACCAAGGCCATTTTCAAAACCTTCCATAAAGAAAAAAGTTTCATATTCATGAGCATTGCCATTGCAGTTTTACCAGTTCTCTAAATGGAAGTATACTTTCTGGTAAGCAGTTGAACATTGAGTTTTCCTTGAAATTAGGGGAAAAAACAAAAAAGAAGAAAGAAAAAGGTTTTGTCCACTGGAACTACTTCCAAGAAAGTCACTAAAGAAATGGCCTAGCACCAAGTGCAGATGCAGACGAATAAAGTCAGGGCACAGCATGTTCCTTCAGGGATGGTTTCTGCAGAAAGTATAGAAGATGCAAACTTTTCTGTACTGGTACCTATGGTATTAGGTTGTGGTTTAGTCTGTCTCTTCTAGAAGAGTCTATCTCTTTGTGTCTGACCCATTACTTCTACATAACTAACAGTATGCATGATGTCAAGGAGATTTGAAAAAAATAAACATTTTTTTCTGATCTATTCATTCCTTACTAAACAGTGAGAAGAAAATCCTCAGTCTTGAAAGGAAAATAGTAAAAGCATGTAAATTTTCTTCTCTATAAATAACTATAAATGTAACTATAAACATCCACCAATTTGCACTATGATTCCACATTTTCCAATGTGCAGTGCTGAAGAGCTGACAAAGAAGAAAATGGGGATTATACAACTCAAATATAGTTTCACTTACTAATGCTGCCTGTGAAAGGATGTATTTTACACAGCCCTCAAACTTACTATTATTGAAGTTAATGAATTTGTGGTTGTTACTAAAACTTGTAACAATGAAGTTGCTTTCAAATCTCAGCTGAAATCAGGATCTTGTGATTTCTGACCCAAGGCATTTATCAATCAGATCAGCTGGAGCAGCAACATTTCAGACTAAATGAAGGGTGGAAACCTAATCTCTTGCAGGATTAAATCACAGTAGCAGCAATAGCAAGCAAGTGCACAACCTGTACATCAACTGTAAGAAGGTTAATTAAAATAGTATGTATATTCTGCAGAATAATTAAAAAACAATTAAAATTATTTTACTGTATCTATTTGGAATAACTATAATTCTTTTCCCTTCCTTCCTTCACCTCTTCTGCAGTGTTCTGTATAAGGCTTCCTGGAAGAGAAACTCGTCTTGGGGAGCCTTTTGCAAAAGACATGACAAGTGTAGTTAATGAAATTTCAAGTGTTTTGTTAAAAGAATTGAAAGAAAAACCATTTGCATTTTTTGGTCACAGGTAAAAATATATACATTTTTAGATACCCTGGTGAAGGAGCTTCTATTTCTGAGAACTAGGAGTAGAGAGTTACTTGTTTTTATTTGCAAAACCTATAGGAAAAATATGCTTCTGCAAGGATCTTCTGTAAAGTCACCCTAAAACATGCAGTTGCACTCAAAGACTCTGGTTATTTATTTACACCTTCAGGTGCAACATCTGAACATGTGTTTCTAATCAATTATAATTGCATTTATTGTTAATATTTGTGCCAGTGCTTGATGTATGTGAATGCAGGGGGTGAACCATTTATGAAACACAGATTTTAAAGATTGCTGAGTCTCAAGTATTCAAAATAACTGTTCTTATTGAAAATTAAGGAGACTATTAAAAGAAAGAGAATATGAAAAGGTCGCATTTGCAAAATTAGACTGTGTAGGAATTCATGTCAATAAACTAATATCATTATAATCTGCACGTCATATACTGTTTCAGCAATTGTTCAAGATAGCCAGTTAGCACTGAAAATAATGTTTATATTTTCCAGTTTTTATGTATGTTTTTACTTACTTTGCTTTAATTTCTTGTTTTGCTGCAGTTTTGGAACTTACACGAGTTTTGCCGTTGCACTTCATTTGAAAGAAAAGTACGGACTGGAGCCAGTCCATCTTTTCATGTCAGCAGCACATTCCCCAAATGTAAGCTACAGAATCATTAACGTTATGAAACAGAACCATAAATTAGCTACTAAGAGTAAGAATAATATTTTACAGTATGGTATGCAGACAAGTTTTAATTTAAAAAAATTTAACATTTCTTCAGAATCTATGGAGTGAAAAGTGTTCTGAGGTAGATGCAGAATATGTAATATTCACTGCTGCTAACCTTAGCCTTGGGAGAACAATCTCTTTAAACTAATGCTGGAACTAATTAATGCTTAAACTAACTAATCCTTAAACTAAACTTTTTTGAATATTGTGTTATTTAGTATGGCCATTGGCTTAACACTCAAAAATAATCAAACCAACATTCTGAGCGGTCCTCCTTACTGTGTAATGTGTGAAGTAACTGTCTTTACCCAGTCTTTCATAAACCTGCTGCATCAGCCCTCAGTACATTTGTCCCATTTTTTTCTCTCTCCTCATTCTTTGTACGATTTTTAATCAGTTTTTTTCTGAGGTTCTGCTAGTCTTTCTCAGAAAAACAGTAGTGAAGTGGCATTTTTCCAGTCCTGTCCTCAGTCAGCATTTGCTATTTCTGTTCTTCAGTTTCTAAGGCTTCTTAACAGCCCTGACTATCAGCTAGTGATTAATGGAAGCAATTGTTATTCCCACAAATTTCCATAATCAGTTGGTTTCTTCAGTCCTACATTAGCCATGTTTATGTCCAGTGCTAGGTTTTTCTTTCTCTTAGATTATTTTACTAGTTGTATTTCAATAGTAAGAGTCAAGCTTGAACAAAATAATATTAACAGTTATTTGTATAAGTTTCAGAAGTACAGAGTACTTGGCTCACTCATAGTTTGTAATTTCACTAAGCACAGTCTACTAATCCTTTCCGTGAAGCGTTCTCTGTGAATGTTAAACGAATCAGCTATTGTATTCTGGAGCCGGAAAATTATTGTAGTTTTTACTAAAATAATTTTAATGAAAAAGTTATTTAAAGTATATTATATACAACATCTGATCTGCTTTGATACTGACAGTCTGCAGCATATCTTGCCGTCAAAAGCATAATCCTACCTGATGGAAGCAATGACCTTCTTGCAATTATGGAGATTCTAGGAGGAAATTTTGAGCTCCCACATGATGAAGACGTTTGGAGAGATACGGCGCTTACTTTCAAAGAAGACGCTAGACTTTTTCAGACATTTTCGTAAGTTTTACAACTTTGTATTACTTCTATATTTGTATTTTATATTTTTATTTCTGTCTGACCATGTTAAGTTTTCTTTTTTCTTTCTTAGTAACTTGTTCTCATTTCTGTTATAAAAAGAATAAGAAACAGTAAACATAGTTTTTTTCCTTTGTGTGCTTTTCTATTTGTTTTCTGGTATTTAAGCCCTAGATGAAACACTGCGTACTGCAGCAACCACAACTGTTACTGCAGTAGTGAACCTGTCATGGCAGAATTACAGTTCTACCTACGATCTAAAGTCAGCAGCTACTAAAAGAATATTCTCGTGTCTTTTATTGTTTTCTGAGATTAACAACCTCTGCTCATCATGCTTCAGGAACAGTGCATTCAGCCTCCAGATACAAGGTCCTCTAGCCTAACCAGAAAAAGAATCCCTGTGTTCTGGGCACCCAGGCAGCAACCAGCTTCCTGTGTCTGAACTGTGGTCCCCACTGGACATTACATGACAGTTCATGTAGCTGAGTGGTTAAGGCTTCTTACCTTGGCAAAAACAAGGACATTCTTGGATGTGGGACCCATTTTGGTCTTAGGAATCTGACACTGAAAGATGCTGAAATGTTAGAACTTGTATATAAGTAGGTAACATCATTATTTATTGTAGGTAAGAATTTTTATTGCAGGATGAAGCTCTTTCTTTTCCCAAACTATTGGGTCATTCTTTCTTTACAATGTTATATCTAATTGCAGTAGGGTAAGGAGCTAAGAAACTTCCAGAGCATTTTCTTTTCCTGATGTTCTGTACAATCTAACTCCTGAAATTTGTTAAGTTTTGGAGAAGAACAAAAAACCTTTTTTGTATGTGGAAGCAAATTTCAAATATACATATCTTATGGAATGTTCTATGACTACTTTTATGTTCACAGATTTGAGAAGACAGAAATGAATACCCCCTTCTCTTGTGATATTACCTACTTTTGTGGGTCTGATGATAAAATATATGATGCAAAAGGTATTTTGTTTAAATGGTTTTCCTCTTATTACTTTCCTCTTACTTACACATTTTCTTGTTGTATTGCACCCATTAATTAGAATTTTCTGGAGTCTACCTCCTTCTTAAAGGAAACAAATCAACAGAGCAGTTTCAATATATGAACGAAAAAGTTGATATGGGATTTAAAATAATTATTAAATTATAGCTTTTAAATAGTTATAAAAAATGATCACAATAGTTGACATTTCTCTGACACTTTGAATATCTTTTTTAGGTTGGCAAGAATTAACGAGTGGTGATACTTCCTTTTATGAGCTTCCTGGAGATCACCTTTACCTGCTGAAACCATCTAATGAAAGCTTCTTGATAAAACACATCACAAGAAGCATAGAAAATGGTCTATGAGTATTTCCCTCGATTTAATTAGCAGAATGTGTAAGGTTAGTCCACAGCAATTTGTAATAAGTCACTTCTTTCTCTACATTGCATTCAAAGTTGTTCTGTTCCTCGTCTGTAATCCTTTATAAGGGGGAATTTTCCTGATGTTTTGAAAACAAACATTGGCTTTGGTCTTAAAAAAGGTTTCATCTTTTCCTTCTCTTGCACATGTACAAACTCTTCACTTTATTCCATAACCTTGTTTGCAAAAAAATTATGTCTATGTTATTTTACTGTTAGAGCTTCTCTGTTTGTCTGCTCCTGTCAAAATGCTAAATATAATTTAATACCAAGAAAAATCCATAATTCTCACAGAAAGCTTCATTTATTCAATTCAAATTTATTTAGATTAATATACAAGCTAAAAATAGGTTATATATGTAAATACCCTTTACAGTCAAACAGCTTATTCTTAAAAGATATTAGTGTCAGACCTCACAATAAGGAGTTAGTATTGCATTTTTCTCAACAGAGTTAGTTCATTAGCTACTGAAGAGTTAAGTATTAGTGGAAATTATTTTGAATAGTCTAGATCCCATATTTTTCTACCATTGCTCTTGCTTTAGAGATATAGGCATTCATGGCATCCTCCTTTGATAAACCTGCAAAGGAAAGTAGGAGTCATTACCTTTCCTCATTTGTCATCCTATAAACTTGACTACAGGATGTAAATTTAATTGGTGTAACACCTTTTTTCAGGTTCCATGCCTCCCATTTGGCTTTGCCTTTCAAATCTAGCATTCCTGGACATTCTGCCAAAATAAATGCATAGCTTTGGTTATCATACAGATTTACATAACATTAGATTGATTTTATCAAGATATGAGAGTAATTGTGAGGTATATGTATTAATACCAATATTAATATCTCCAACAGTAGCCTGTTTGTAGAATCCATATAGTTCCTTCAGTTCTTCATCAGTTGGTCTTGTTTTTAATTTTTTTACATCTTCTGCAGCACCATCAAAGTCAGCCTGATGAAAGAACAGAAAGGGTTCTTCTCTCAAGGGGTGTTTTTAAAACATGAGTTACAAGACACACAGTAGTATCATTAGATATTCTCAATGAATCACTTGAGTTTAGCAATCAGACAAAGCTTTTTCCCATGAAAGAAGCTTCATAAATATGTACATTGTTAGAAAGGGATATAGGCTTGTATGGCTGATAGGGGCAGCCTCCGCAATTTATGTGTATATGTCTTTTACAGTCATACTGGAGGTATGAAGCCATTCACTGAACTTTACATCCCACAGTAATCTCTGAATGGTTTTGACCCTGCCTACACTGTGTTGGCTCAAGTGGTGGAGCTCAAATCCCCTCTGAGTGGTACTGCCCAAATCACCCTCCATTTCCTCTGCTCTGCTGACAGGGAAGTAGGTACCAACAGCTGGCACAGAGGTACCTCATGGAGATGAGCTACTGCCAGGACCATCTTCCACAGCCATCTCTAAAACACAGGAGAGCACCAGAGTAAAGTGTAAATTTACTCCTTTCATCACTGTGAATCACACACTCACATCAACCTGAGGCTGTAGCTATTCTCACTATAAAGCACGTCTCAGGCTAAGAGACTCTGTTTCATGCCCAGAACATTTCAGAGAGAGACAAATTTTTTAGAGTACTACAGACCCATCAGGTCACCGCACTACTCTAATGCAGAATAATACAAGCGTTTTAACATGCTATATGCTGGTTTCAACAATTATTTTAGCCTTTTAGTTGGATCTGCATTTACAGAGGTACAGTATATCCTGCACAAATATTTAAAATGTACAAAACCAGGTGTATTGGTTTTGCATTGCCTGGTTTTTGGTTGTTGGGGTGGGGGGCTGGCTAAAAGGGTGGCTGCCATGGGAAGCTGCCAGAAGCTTCCAACATGTCCAGCAGAGCCAATTCCAGGCGACTCCAGAGATGGATGTGCTGCTGGGCAAGGCCAGGCGGATTAGAAATGGTGGTAACACCTCTGTGGTAACAGATTAACGAAGGACAATAAACAAGAAGTGGTTGCACAGTTGTAACTATGGCCAGAGAAGAGCAGAGTGAGAACGTGAGAGGAACAGCCCTGCAGACACCACGGGCAGCGCAGGAGGGACAGGAGGTGCTCCAGGCGCTGGGGCCGAGATTCCCCTCAGGCCGTGGTGCAGCTGTGCCCCTGCAGCCCATGGAGGCCATGGGGATGCAGGGATCCACCACAGCCCGTGGAGGAGCCCCAGGCCGGAGCACGTGGATGCCTGGGAGGAGGCCGTGATCCTGTGGGAGACCCGTGGAGAGGGGCCCTGCTCCCAGGCTGGAGCAGCCTTTCCTAGAAGGACTGCACCCCATGGAGGAGTGACCCACAGCACAGCAGTCTGGGGAGGACTGTTCCCCAGGGGATGGACTCACATTGCAGCAGGTCACAGGGAGCTGTTGCTCGTGAGATGAGCTCACGTTGGAGAGGTTCACAGAGAACTGTCTCCTGTGCCACCCCACGGTGCAGCAGGGAATGACTCCCCTTGAGCAGCAGGAGAAGCCACGGGTGATGGACTGACCACAACCCCCATTCCCTCCCCATTCCCTGTCCCCTTGCACTGCTGGGGTAGGGGGTAGAGCTGAGAAGGGAGGAAGGTGTTTATAAGGGCTTGTTTTATTTCTCATTGTCCTGCTCTGATTTTGTTAGAAATAAATTCACTTTATGTCTCTAAGTTGAGCCCGGTTTTGCCCTCAATGGTATTTGATGAGCCATCTCTCTCCTGGTCCTTATCTCAACTCATGAACCATTTGTTAAATTTTCTCTCCTCTGTCCAGCTGCAGAAGAGAGTGAGTGAGTGGCTTTGGTGGGTGCCTGGCATCTGGCCAGCATGAACACACTATTTCAGCTTAAAAGTTTGTGTAAAAGTCAGCAGTGATTTCAGCATGAGTATTGTGGCTCTGTTTAAATCACTGAAGTCTGCACTGTGCTTCTTTATACAGGAAAGATTTTATTTTTTTTTTTTTAAGAAAACCTAATGCATGTTTGTCTCCTTAATTGATGCCTTTCTCCTTGGCAAGTGACTGTGCTGGATGGACCAGGTGATGGAAATAAGCAAATATGAATGAGAGCTAGGTTCACTACAGCATTCTGTATTTAAACAAAGTACAAGAGAAAGGTTATTTCTTTTTTTAAATTTAAGAAGGAAAAATGAGTAGTAATTTAATTAGAGAGTGATGTTCAAGCACCTTTCCTCACAGAAAGGCCCCTCCCTGGAATCATGAAACTCCATATTCATTGACTTAAGGACATACCAGCTGGTGGCTGCATTAAGGCAGGAGCAGCTGGCAAAACAGGGTAAGGACAGGTAGCTGAGTGCACTGCAGTTTCCCGCACAGAAACTTGGCCACTCTACCACCAAGTGAGTCATCTCTGCCTCCTGAGATGGAATTCACTTTTTATTTTGGTCTGGAAATTTGGTTTGGCTAATGAGATTGGCCAGATACAAACTTCTGAGGAATTTCTAATTTTTTGCAAATTTTTAATTGCTGTCTGAAACCCACAAAGGGAAAGCACAAGCCTTCTAAGAACAGAAGTGCTCGCCACAGGAGGATGTGCATCTGTAATAGAAGTGTTGCAACAAGGAACAGCAGGCAGAAATGTGCATTTAAAAGGAATGTTTTAAAAAAAATCATGATGTGTGATTAAAAAGGCATTCTAACTCCCTGCAAAACAGCAATTAAATCTTGAATATTCTTTAAACTGCACCTGTAAATTCACAAAACAATAGATGGAAAGGATTCATTATGACAATATGCATCTCTAGGTCTGTCAGTTCATAGCACCCTTGAAGTGAAATGAAAGGAAAAGACCTAAATCCTGCAGCAATGCAGATGCTTTTTAACAAATAATCTTCCAACTCAGTGAGAACCTCAGTGCTTGCATAAATGACAAGCAGAAGTATCTGGGAGATTCCCAAGGCCTCCCTGAACCAAATGCCCAGTAGTGGATGGAGGAGTACAGAGAAGAATTGGTGTGCTGAAATTAATAATGACTGCTTTAGTTTGAGAAGTGCTCCTGTTTATTTTGAATATAACAATTCTTCTGAGACAGATTAGACAGATTAGACAGATTCCAAGTGCCATTTGTCTTCTTAAAGATCTGACACTTGGTCATTCAATAAAGTATATGATTTGGCAGTTTGTGCACTAAATTCTAGATTAAATTACTTCCAAATTATATTTTTAAATCTAAAACTTTACATTCTAAAACACGTAATTACTTATGTAGTTTGTTCCTGTTTTAATAAAAATAATTTTCAATGTTAGTAAGATACAACTATACCATAAAACCATAGAAAAACATGAAGCTTTAAGTCCAACTTTTTGTGTCTGATTTCTTTTAAGAACACTGTAGATTTCTTTTCCCCAATCAAGTATTTGAGAGTGCTGCACAACAAGTACAGGATTTTTCTAGAATAAAAAACTAAATGGTTCAGAATACGTTCATATGCTATGTATATACGTTATATGTAATTTAGATAAACCAAAACTAAATAGCCTTACAGCATCCCTTCTCAGCTTTTTGGGGTTTTTTTTTGGTAATATTAATATTTGCTTTTGTGAAAATCTTGCAATCCTATTTTTTCTTCTTATGCTGTATTGTCTCTTGGTCTCCTTCTGCACAGCAACTGTACCTGGATTTGCTACAACCACCTGAAATGCTTCAACAAGTTCAGATGTTATGCTCAGTTTTAATTTTTCACCAAAAATTGCTGAGACCCATAATAAGTAAGTAAATAACACTATTGCTCCTTTCAGCAGCAAACCCAAAATGGTGAACCCACGTGTTTGGGGCCAGGAAGTCAGACCAGCACAGGCAGAGAATTTGGGGTTTGGGGCAGAAGCACCTTGCCCTGTGTCTTAGGCACAGCATGAGTGCCTTCAGCCTAGGAGCTGAAGCTAGAGGACAGACACACTGCCACAAGCAGGAGTCTGAGCTCACAGTCCCTGTGAGACTGCTCATAGGGCTTTTTTTGACAGTCTGGTGCCTTATCCTTCCATGAAAACAGGCCCGTTCCACTTGTGCTCACCTCGGGGAAGAGGCAAGGACATGGGGATTGCAGAGGAACTCACATGCTCTGAATTTACAGCCCAGCCTTCCCCTGAGTCACTCCAGCCGTGCCACGCTGCAGTGTTCCAGGCACTGCAGCATTAGGATATTAGGGAGTTTTGTACTAAGGTAGCAAGGCAAGTCTAATTACACAAAATCTCTTACGCACTAACAGTGTTTTTAGGAGATGTACAGCATTTATAATGGAGAAGCATTTAATGAGGGGAAACAAAATCAGCAAACTACCTTACCAAGCAATTAAAAATAGTAGTTCAAAGAAACTGGAACTGTACATATTTGATGCTCTTCAAAGCAAAGCATTTAAAGTCACACTATTGGTACAGATGTATAAAAGGGATGGGAATTCACTTATGAAAATAAATGTGATGACCTACTGCTCAAGGGTTTTTTCAATAGGTACAATTTTATTAAAATAAATATTTCATTATTAATCCAAATATCAGAAATGTGACATTCTTAACTATAACTATGACTGCCTCCTCCATCCCAGACATCTCTTAGTATTATCCACACATGTGCAAACAAAAGCAGGACTCTGTTAACTGTAAGATTTAAAATTTGTATCAATAATAAACCACAACTAGGTTGCCATATTGTTTAAAGTTTAAATAAGTTACTACTGCATGTGAGCTTCTGCCAGCACTGATGTACAAGGACCATTCAAATCTGTGAAAATCTTTCACAAGTCTGGAATTGTTTTCTGATCTAAACTTCTGTCCCGGTTTTGTCTGAAGTAATAATTGATTTTCTCCCTAGTACCTGGTACAGGACAGTGTTTTGGATGCAAGAAGAGAATAATGTTGATTTGTTATTTATTGCTATTTATTTATTTAAAACTGATGTTTTGCTTGTTGCTGAGTAGTGCTTGCACTGAGCCAAGGACTTTTCAGTGTCTCACACTCTGAATGTGAGGAGCTACACAAGAATCTGGGGAAGTGGGGGGGAACACCTCTGGGACAGCTGACCAAACTGGCCAAAGGGACATTCCACAACACAGAACATCCATGCCCAGTGTAGAAACTGGGAGAAGCTGGCCAAAATGGACTGACTGCTGTTCAGGGATGGGCACTACCCTTGGTCGTGATCAATCTGCGCATCACTTGCTTCTCCTGGGTTTAACTGAACATGCACTCTCTTTCCTTCTCTCTCTCTCTCTCATTACTACTCTCACAGTGCTGTATTTTACTTCTTTAAGAAATTATTAAGCTATTCTTATCTCAGCCCATGAGTTTTTGCTTCCTCTCCCTTCTCCCCAGTGCCGATTCTCCTCCCCATCCCACTGTAGGCGAAGCGGGTGAGCAAGTGAACTGCATGGCACTTATTTGCCGGGTAGTGTTAAACCATGACAACTTCACAGTAAGAATGAACCAGAAGCCCTGGTCAATTGTACGAGACAAAAGATAAAAAAATAAGGAAACCATTAAGTTAATAACCTTATTTTCCGATAATTTTATTCTATTTGCATCTATAGGCAACTACCATAATATAGTTTAAAGATTTGCAAAGGCATATCTTACAGAGCAAGAAAGGTGCAGAAATGAAATCTAAATACTAAAACTTTGTTCTTTATCCCCCTCTAGCCAATCATTCTGCACAGACTGTTGCTTAGGATTTGCCTGCTTACGCAACATGCTTATGAGCAGCCTGTAAAAACATAATTTCCTTTTTTAGAAAAAAAAAAAAAAAAAAAAAAAAGTGAAGGAAATACTTCATTATTAAAGCTTAATAATTTCATTATTTTAGTCTTAATCAAAGCCAAAAAATTACTTTGAAAAGGATATAGCTCTCTACATATGGAGAGATGTCTCCCTGTAAACATACTTAAAATGCATCTGTATTGGGTTTGCATGGCCTGTTTTTTTGTAGCAGGGTGTGCTACAGGG